AGAAAGCTCAAGCTGACCATGGTCTGGCTTCTCAATAAAAGCTGACCAAAAGAGGATCTCTGATGCTCTGTTTCTGCTAGGCTGCCCTCACAAACAGCACATTGTCAGAATCACGGACAACTGATCTTTGAGTACTTGCCTCCACAGTAGAGAACCCGAAGGGGGTAGTCGCCATCTGACCTGGCACCGCTCCTTATTTCTCCTCTGCAGTCAGGGACCACAGGCTCAGCTACATCCGTGGCCATGTCACACGCCTGGAGGTCACAAAACAAAGCAGGACCTAAGTTCTGGGTTAGAGTTATTCACATCTTCCCCAGCTTAAGAGGAACCCCAGAGATTGATGGATCCCAGAGAAAACAGGTACAATCCTAAGAGGAGGAAAAATCAGAGAAGAAAAAACAGGAGTCAAGACATAATCAAAAAATACATGGGAAAAGGCTGCAAAAGATATCAAACAGCATGGAATTTTAGCACATGGGGGGGGGAACAAAGTGCCACAAAAGTGTGAAATTAAGAAAGATCTGCAAGAACACCCCATGGAATTACAGAACACACTGAGTTAAGATGTGAAGCATCACGTTAAATCAGTGGTATATGAACAGCAGGAACACTGGGGGAGGGGGGAAGGTACTGCCAGTACAGTGGCAAAGAACAGGAATCATTTAAATCTGTACCTGAAGAGTTACAATCTAGTCCTAGGACAGGTTTGGGCAAAGAAAAACCCCAACACCACAGAACAGGAAAATGAAATTCAACCAACTGGTATAGTGGTTTGCATGCACACTTTTACAGGCAAGGGGTTTAGAAGATGGGGGCCAACAGGAGAGGAGTTTGAAACGCATAACTGCCCCAGGATCACTGGGAGCAAGCAGGATATATGTGTGGAAGCCTCGGAGCCAAGCTGCCGCACAAGCTGTGCCTGGGCTTTGAAGAGAGCTAGGGGGAAATGCCAGAGGTAATGGGGGGATAGGGAGGCGACAGGGAAAGGCAGCAGACGGTGGTAATGAGGGGAAAGATGCTGGGAGGACCCATGGAGCTCCCAAATGAGGGACGAAGGGGATAAAAGTGAGGGGAGGATGGGGGGAAAGGGGAAGGGTGCTGGTGTGTCAGACAAATGGGATCACAGACATGGTGAGGTGGGGGCAGAGCTGAGGGAACGGAGGACGCTGAGTTACCAGAGACGAAAGGGATCACAGGGAGAGCGGGCAGAGCCGCAGCAGCGGGGCACAGGGAGGGTGCCGGAGAGGAGGGAAGGATGCTGGCAGCCGGCGGGGAAAGGCCCCTCGGCACCGGGACGAAGGGGAGGGGGAGCCCCGGGGCAGCAGCGGCGTTGGCGTTACCCGGGAGGCCCCTCAGGCCGCGGCGGCGGCGGCGGCTCCTCCTCGTCCTCCTCCGGTGGGTCCCACACCCCGCGCCGCACGTGCGCCCTCCACAGCGCCGCCGCCGTCTCGCGAGAGAGACGAGCCGTGGCTTGAGCCCGCCGGCTCGCCGTAGTAAAGCGGGGCCGCCCCGTTACCAGGCGGTACGGGATCGCGCGAGCTACGGCGCGCTGGAGCGGACATTTACCGCCGCCGCCGCCGCCGCCATGCCCCGGTACGCGCAGCTGGTGATGGGCCCGGCGGGCAGCGGGAAGGTGAGGCGGGGGACGGGCGGCGGCGGGGAGGTGATAGCGGCGCGGTCGGTCCGTGACAGCGGTTGTGTGTGCCTTGCAGAGTACGTACTGCTCCACCATGCTGCAGCACTGCGAGGCGCTGGGCCGTGCCGTGCAGGTGGTGAACCTGGACCCGGCGGCGGAGCTCTTCAGCTACCCGGTTACGGCAGGTAGGGAGCGCAGGAGGGAGGCGGCGGGAGGCCGGTACGGGGCACCGCTGCGAGCCAACGAGCTGAGGCCGCTGTGCGTGCGTGTTGTTGTAGACATCCGCGAGTTAATAGAGGTGGATGATGTGATGGAGGATGATTCCCTACGGTTCGGACCCAACGGTGGCCTCGTGTTCTGCATGGAATACTTCGCCAATAACTTCAACTGGCTGGAGGAAAGCCTTGGGCACGTAGAGGATGACTATGTGCTGTTTGACTGCCCAGGTAAGCAGACATCAGCGTTCTGGTGTCCTTCATATGCAGTACTATAGCGTAGATAACTGTTCCACCTGGCTTTGCATTCCTGCGTGCCTGATGTTTTGCGTGTGCTCCAGGTCAGATCGAGCTCTACACACATCTGCCAGTGATGAAACAGCTGGTGGAGCAGCTCCAGCAATGGGAATTCCGTGTCTGTGGAGTTTTTCTGGTGGATTCTCAGTTTATGGTGGAATCTTTTAAGGTATCCATTTGAAATCCGTTGTAAAAGTTCATACTGAGAATGAACAAAGAATCGGAGCGATTTCAGAGTGGGGTTTGTTTAGTCCAGCAGGAAGAATGCTAAGCTGGGGGAGATGTGATTGCATTCTTCAGTTGCCTCAGATACAGGTCACAACAAAGAAAATTCCAGTGGATGTAAAGCAAATCTGTGCTGTGGGAAGAGGGCATGGAGAGACTGTGTAGTGAATGTTCATGGAGCTACTCAAGCCTTGACCAGGCAAAAGCCCTGAGCAACCTGATTTGACTTTGAAGTTCCCTCTGCTTTTAGCAGTTGTATGAACAAAATAGCCTCTAGAAGACCCTTCCAAGCAAAATTCTCCTGTCATTCCATGAGAGCTTTCTCATATCTGGAAGGAGAGCAGGCTGGTTTCTCATCTAGCAGTATGAATCCAGGGACGGGCTTTGGGTTTTCTTCATGCCCTTTTCAGTGGCAGATCCAGATATGATGGCAGATGGGATACTCAGCACCTCCCTTTCCCAGCAGAGAATAATTCCTCACATGGCTTGTGTTCATGTTTCATGTATTCACTAGCTAGACTTGGTCTGTGGTTGAGTGTCTGTGTATTGGTGTTGTGTTTTTCTGTGCTTAACTACATCATTTCTATGCTCCTTCAGTTTATCTCTGGAATTCTGGCAGCTCTCAGTGCAATGATATCTTTAGAGATTCCACAGATTAACATTATGACCAAAATGGATTTGCTGAGCAAGAAAGCCAAGAAGGAAATAGAAAAGTAAGTTCCAAAAACCTACTTTTATCATGTAACATGAGGAGGCAATCTCCATTCAAAATTCAATCTCATGCTTCCCACAATTAAAACATACTCTTTTGGAATGGGACGTGCCCTGCCCATGGCAGGGGGGTTGGAACTTGATGATCTTAAGATCCTTTTTAACCCTAACCTATGATTCTGTGATGCATTTGTTTGATATCAAACATAGGCTTTAAATGCCTGGGTAGGATGCTTACAGTTTAGTCAGAATCAAAAAGCTAGCTCCATGTTTGTACTTACCTCTGGATTTTTCTGTAACTAATTATCTTGAATAACTTATTCTGAATGACATTGCAGGCTGCTGTACTTCAAAACCTAAACCAGAACAGATCATATCAGGGTTTTGATACTGACCATACTGAATTACGTATGTGTTGTTTTTACATTTGCGAGATATTCAAATACCTACAGAAACTGTTTTTACACATTTTAAGTTCTGATACAGTTAGCTCATTTGGATCACAAATGTTTTTGGCAGCTATTTAAAAGCACAATGACTTGTTTGCTCTGTAGCCAAGGATTCTTTCCATGTTAACAGTGACTTTGTTTCTCCCAGGTACTTGGATCCAGATATGTATTCTATGATTGAAGATTCTACAAATATATTGAAAAGCAAAATGTTTAAAAAGCTGACTAAATCCATATGTGGATTGGTGGGTATATTGCTTTTTAACTGGTACCCTTAAATTCAGTCCTGTACGTATAAACCATACTGTGTGGTTGCTGACTTCATTGCTGTTATTGATACTGTATGTTCTATAATCATTCTCCCCACCCCAAAAATATGTATTTGCCTACCAGACTGTTAACAAAGACAGGATTGGAAAGACATTCAGGCACTTGAGGATTTTACTTTTTGCCTATTTTAACTCATTATTTTTTTCAGATTATATTATTAGGTTTTTCAGACAAGGAACACCTAAGTGTGATTTAAGGAGGTAGCTTAGAGTACTGTGATTGAGAACTCGCTGCATTTTCTGACTAACATCCTTTGAACCCCTTCTCTAGATTGATGACTATGGTATGGTTCGATTTCTCCCTTTTGATTGCTCTGATGAGGAAAGCATAAACATAGTCCTGCAGCACATAGACTTTACAATTCAGTATGGAGAAGATCTTGAATTTAAAGAACCAAAGGTAAAGTACTTCTAATGAGAAGATGGTCTTATGGGTCCTTAAAAAGAATCCATAATATAAGTTGTAATACACTTATGAGTAATGTCTTTTAAGCTTGAAAGGTCAGAAGGGACCATTAAGATCACTAAGATTTCTTAGGTGCAGCAGCCACGAGGGGAAAAGTCAGGTTTTACCTTTTCTGTTTTCTTTTTGGCAGGAATGTGAAGAAGATAAATCTGCTCTTGTGGATGAATATTTTCAAGATCATGTGGATGAGTAAAAAATGAATGTTCAAATACGGGAGGAGAAAATACCTTGTTTGTGTTAAAAAGTGAAAAAGAAAATCCACTCCTACACAAACATACTCAATGTTTTATCTGTAAGATAACTACTATTTATAATGAAAAGTGAGCTATATGCCCTTGTAACTATTTTAATAAACAATTTTTATTCTTGCGTGCGTGTTATAAAACACATGGGCTATACAAGGTCCTCACATATTGATGTATCTCATTTAAGCATAGGAATGCTTGAAAACAATTATCTGCAAAAGGGGTAACACTGAACATCAGTAGGTTGTAATAAGTAGTACTGGAGATAAGCAAGTAGTTTCATTATGATGAGAGAAAGAATTGTACTTGATAACTGAACCTGAGTTAGGCAAAGAGCTGACTGGCAGCTTCAAAGGGGCATCTGGTAAACCCAGCCTCTAGAGGAAGACGAGTGTTTTACATTCACTTTGGAAAAGCCCAGATTTTCAGCTTTCTTAAGGCTGTTTTCTGTACAACTCATGCATGGCTTTAAGTGATTTATACATCAATAACATCTTCAGGGCAGCGCAACACTCGAAAGAAAAGAACTTGGTGATGGTCTTGTGCAGTCATGTTAACTAACAGTTTCTAACAAAGAATTCAGCAACAAATACTCTAAACCGTGAAATGCTTAACATCAGTGAATGCTTAGATGTAGGCATATCACCTATATATAGTCCATGTATTAGAAATTAACCCCATCCTCACAAGATATGTGCAGCCAAGTATTTCACTAGAATAACTGATGTCATTTTGTAGGAACAGTCAGCAGATGTCCGAGAGCAAGGACACCCCTTAAAGGAAACCAAATCAAGGATTAAATACTTGAAGACAACTTCACTTACCTAAGCCTGGGCTGTGATAGCGACTTGGTACAGAGTTTAGTTCTGTAGTTTCTTGCTTGTAGTCCAGAAGGTGTAATTTTTCTTCTTACTCATCAGTAGGGTTGTTCTTCATGTCTGTTTAAGTAAATGATTAAATGGTCATGCTGCTCTGGTGCTTATTTTTGAAATAAGCATCTGCACAGTCAAAACAGGAAGGGAAGTTCAACAGATCAGCAAATGCTGCATGTCTAGAGGAAAAGACCTTCCCTGCGTCCTTATGTGGAGGCCATGGATGATTGTATGAAGTCTTTTAAATGGGAACAACCCAAAACTGCAAAATAAGATGTCACCTAAGAGCCATTAAAATTGTCTTTCAAAGCCAGGTTTGCAAAAATTGCCAGCCTTGTGATACTTGGCATTTCTAAAACCTTATTCCCAGTACAATTAGTGAACACTGAGAGTTCAGTTTCAAGATAGCCATTGCAGTCACCAGGAAGAGCTGTGAAAAAACATCAGCTCTTCAGAGGCTCATCACATTACTCGTGGCAGGACCAGATTTGGCTGAATTAAACGATAAACGTTGGGAAACCTTTGGTGGCTTCCCTCACCTCCAGACTGCTGCTTCTTCAGGACAAGTGATTCCTGTGACATGTCAAAAGGACAAACCCCAGCCCTGCAGTTAGATTACCTTGATGCACTTCCAAATCTCCCAAGTTTTTCTTCCTGAATCATGCCATGAGTCATTTACCAGGGGACAAACTCAGTATACTGGGTCATATGGGACATTATGGCTTGATAGTAACAGGAGCATGCACCTTAAAATACTGCATCCCACCAAACACAATGTGTTTGGCCGCACTCTGTGCTTCCTTACACCGAGTGCCCAGCAGCTGGCTGTGGCTGTTGCATGTTAGGGCAGCGCACACAATGCCCAGGAGTGCTGCAAATGCACAGGAGAGAAAACCAGTTGCAAGCAAAGCGTCCTCTCCTGCACTCTTGTCAAGCACTGACCCTTGCAGGAGACAGGAGCTCACCTCTTCCAGCAAGAAAGGAAGATGCTACGGTGGCTGGAGAAGAAAAGTGTGGCATGGGGAAGGTTAAGGAGGGGTTACTTGCAGTGCTGGTCACTGCAAAGTAAGAGGGAAGGGGGAAATTCCATGGGGAACGAAAAAACAACCAAGTCCCCCTCTGCGTGTGCTTCCGAGCACCTTCGCCGTGCTGGCAATGCTCTCACAGGAGCGGTGCCTCTCGGGGCGGTGCACGCCGCAGGCCTCCGCTTCGGCTTCCCCTCCTCGTACCGCCTCTGCTGCCTCATTTCCTGCAGCGGAGGCAGAGGCGGAAGCTTTGCTGCTAGCTCCTCTCTGCTTTTCCCCTTGCCCGGCCCCGCTGACCTGCGTTCTGCCCTTCGAGATGCCGGTGAGGGGGCTTCGCATCCGGCGCTTAACCTGCCCGTGCCGGCGGGGAGAGGGGAGGGCAGCGGCCACGGCGGTGGGGCCAGGCCGGGGGGGTGAGAGCGCTCCCCCCGGGGCTGGGACAGGGGTTCTGCCGGCCTTGGGCAGCTGCTGGTGGACCAAAGGGGCGATAAGAAACCCCAGTGAAAGAGGGGAATTGCTGCTTATGGGAGGCTGCTGCAAGGGCGACGCCCTCCTCTTCCTCCTCCTCTTCCTCCTATTGCCAGGGATCCCCCCGGTTGCAGCCAGGAAGAGGGTGGTAAAAGCAGCACTGTGCTCTGGTGTTGTTCACACCTCTTTCTGCTAGGGGATGCTGCTTCCACACACACGCCCCTGGCTGCATCCCCTTCTCCCTCCACAAAACATAGGCTGTGAGGAGGTGAAGGCTTCTCGGTGGGAATGCTTGGCAAGTGCCTAAAGCTGGACTCATCAGTGGTTAAAAATCAGTTTTCCAGGGAGAATCTGTCACATGCAGAAAGGATTTTGTCTTTTGTCTTTTTTTTTTTTTTTTTTTTTTACTCTAGACCAGTTTTACAGTGCACAGAAGGGTCTATTTTTTGGCTGTGTGGGCTCATGTTAAGCCTCGTTTTATTTATGATTATCTAATATTATTAGCTAGACATGCAAATAAAATACAGTCATATTTAATGGCCAACTAACTTTCATGGCCCCATAACTGAGGCAGGAGAACAGGGCTGCTGCTGCCTTGGTGCTGTGCAGAATGGGGTCTGGCAGCCTCCCCGTACCTGTTTTATGCTGTCTCCCTCCACTGTGATCAGAAGTGGTGCCAGTGATGATGCTTCCATGGTCTCGACCAGAATAGCTCTGAGATCTGGGCCTAAAGAGAAAACAGACATTGTTTGTGCAAGGAAAAAATACTGGAAGCATCACTAACAAACTAGACTGACTCCTACTTGACACAGGGGACACATGATCAGACATGGAAATGTCTATTTTTCAGCAGCGTTAATAACTATCTGTTCCTGCTATCTCTAGGCTTACCACTCCACTTTAATGGACTCAGACACCAAGTTAGTTGGGAACATGGCACTGTTACCCATCAGAAGCCAGTTCAAAGGCCCAGCACCTCGGGAAAGTAAGTTTATAATAATCTCTGAAACCACTGCCTGTATGTAGCTCATCATCATCTCTCAGTTTGCTCCAAGCCAGCACTAGCAAGAATGGTGAGAGGATCCATGAGTTGATTGGAAATGGAGTGCTATTTCTAGTTCATATTTCTATAAACTGCACTTTATAGAGAAGTTTTCAAATACTTAAGTTGTTCAAATCATAGCAAACAGTTACGCACAGAGAAATACGCTCTAGCTAAATCAGTTGTTTCAGTAATTAAAGCCTACGGTTACTATTCTCATGCTTCCTCTTGTGCTCGTCAGTAAGTTTTGAGGAGGATGTGGTGCGGTGAACCCTCTGCTGTCAGAGGAAGTGGAAGTTTAGCTACAGAGAACTTGGGCTTTGGGTCGGTGACTGAAGACACTCGGCTGCTCTGAAGGGCAAGAGCAGGTTAGGCAGCACTTTAGGGTAAAATTGAGATGAAGTTACAGGCATCCTAACAGGGTCCAAAGGCAGCCTGGTCAGGATTCCCCTTCAGCACATTAAGTAGCTATTCCCCAGTAACGTGGTGGTTCAATTTGGGAAAGGAAATATAAAGGAAATACTGAATTTAAGCAGTTGGTGGTTGGCATCCAGAAGTGTGTTCTGCTCCTCACCCTTAGTTTTGAAGAGGACAATGAAATTTATGTGATCTTTTTCCAAAACCATTTTTGTGTCCCGAGGAGACTTTTACACTGTTAAAACTCTGGTGAGTTATTCAACTGGTAGAAAAGTGGGGAGCTGCTGAAATGCTGCCATTTGTGAAGTAAGAAATCATAGCAGGGGGTGGGGGGAAGAAGAAAGGAGTTCAAGCTCCTGCTAAGACCAGGAACTTTAAGTGTTAACAGTCTGAGCTCCCTGGTGTTTCACACAGCAACAACTGCTTTCTGACTTCTGCTTTTTGTGAATACCAAGGTTTTGCTTTTGCAATAATCCTTATTTATGTGTTTCAGAGCGTAAAAGTTATGACCAAATGTACTTTAACGGTGCATTGTTTAACTCTGTATTTCTTTTTTGCTAGCTAAGGACACAGATATTATAGATGAAGCCATCTACTACTTCAAAGCTAATGTTTTCTTCAAAAATTATGAAATTAAGGTAATTCTTAAAGATACTTTGCATATGGATGTTCTTTGGTGGGTTGGTGCTGTGAATATTTTTTCAATGAAATAGTTCTGCTAGATAACAGTAAATTCCCTTCCTCCCACTTAATTAAAGCTGGGTAAATGCCATAAATTGCATTTCCCTCTCATGGGGAAATTGTAGGCCAGAATGGCTTAAACTCATTCCCGTTGCTTGCTCTTGCTTTGCAGAACGAGGCTGACAGAACACTGATCTATGTAACCCTCTACATTTCTGAGTGCTTGAAAAAGCTGCAAAAGGTAAGAAAAGTGGAATTTCTGTGCAGGAGGAAAACTGAGTCTGTTCTGGGGATACTTGGGAAAGGATTTGCTGATATTGTCTTCCCAGTGGCACAAATCACCCTGTTGACCCCCCTCCCTATTGTCAGAGCCACTGATTATCCAAGTCTGTGGATCTCCAAAGAAACACTGTGTTCTTCCTGATGAGTTTTTATGTGTTACAGATAAAACAGACAGCTCTATCACTACATCAGCTGTTGTTTGTAACTGTTAATCCATTGTTTGTCTGGTTCTTCCAGTGTAACTCCAAAGGCCAAGGAGAGAAAGAGATGTACACACTGGGAATCACTAACTTCCCAATCCCCGGGGAGCCTGGCTTTCCACTTAATGCCATTTACGCCAAACCCGCCAACAAGCAGGAGGAAGGTAAGGCTAATCCAGCATCCCCAAAAGCTTCCTTGGGCTCTTACTTTACCAGCTGCATTTTTTGTAACTGCAGTAAGAAATACTGCTGTTAAAACTGAATGTTCTAAATCCATAGTTCTGTTTTAGGAGGGGAGCAGAGCTGGATTTTCTGACCTCAGGGGGGCAGTGGTTTCCCTGGATCCATAGATCTGACAGAACAAATAGGGATCTGAGTCTCCCTTTTGCATCAGCATTAATCGCTAGATAAAATCTGTAATGGAGCCCAAGCTAACTGCTGCACTGGCAGAATAGGAAGCCCACAGTGAGCAAAGGTATCTGAGAGCAGAAAAGAGTTTGTATGATCCTTAAAATAAAAATACCATAAAAATCCCAGTTATGGCTGTAAATTGAGCAAACCAACTCAGCCAGCTGATGAGTACCTACAGATGTGAAAACTCACTTCCTGCTGTAAGCAGTAATTGTTGTTTCTCTGTTCCATTCAGTTTGATTTGGTGCTGCCTCAGTTTCCACTGTTTTTTCCTGTGCTGTGTTTCAGAGGTGATGAGGGCCTACCTGCAGCAGCTGAGGCAAGAAACTGGTCTTCGCCTTTGTGAGAAGGTATTTGATCCTCAGAGTGACAAGCCCAGTAAGGTAAGAGTTTAATGTGATCATCACAGATCTAATGAGAGGTTTGCTGTGGAGAGAAGTGAGATGATGGGGGAGGGATCAGGTGTGGATGACTTTGGCACAAGCTTCCTGGCTTTTACAAGGCTAGTCAAATAGCAGGCTGCAAGTTATCAATGAATGTAATCTGTAATGCAGCAAGACAGTGAATGCCAATTTAGGTTACTTTAAAAAGCAGGGCAGTAATAAGTGGTGTCTGGTTCGACTCTTCAAAGTATTGCACATCTGCTCTTGGCAAGGTTTTCAGATGGAAATCCACAGGCAGGAATGATGCTGTTCATCTTCCAGGCAGTTCTGATTTGAAAGCTTCTTTGAAGCAGACCCTTTTGTCTCATATCCAGATTAAAAACAAATAGCTAATCAATGAGTGAATGTCCTCCTGACTGTTCATATGTTTCATGTGCAAATGTGACTGCATTTAGTATTGAAATTATTTGGGCTAATTTAGTTTCAAAGGCATAGCTTTCTGATGCATCCTTTCATAATTATATTGGAATAGACAGCAAAATTAAAATAATAGAAATAAGATAAAGTAGAATGTCCTGCTTTAATTCAGAGCCCTATATTATATAATATGTATTCTCTATATATTATGTATTATATGTTATATATATTACAGATTTCTATATATAATATTCTATATTATTGAATCACAGAATGATTTGGCTTGGAAGAGACCTTAAAGGTAATCTAGTTCCAACTCCCTGCATTATAAATTTGAGTCTATTCCTGTCCTCTTGTTCACCTAAATTCTAGCAGAAACCAGTGTGGAAAACTGTATGTGCAAAATTGGAGCCTTAACACTTGTTGCTTGTCAGAGGTTGAATGCTTTTAAGTCACTATTTTATCACCTGGAAAGCACTTTTGGGTATAGTCCGACTTTGTGCTTCCTTCTGCAGTGGTGGATCTGCTTTGTGAAGAGGCAGTTCATGAACAAGAGTCTGTCAGGTCCTGGGCAGTGAAGAGGCAAAGCAGCAACAACATTAAACATTGTCACAGCAAGGTGTTTAGGTATTTTGCCTTTGTTTTGGATACATTTTATACCAAGGAAGAATTAAGTGCTTATGAAGAAAAGCAAAACCCCACCACAAACCAGTCAATGAGGGATTAGAGGGAACAAAAAGGTAACTTGGGTAATGTAAGCAAATATTATTAAGCTGGTGCTTAATAAGTGATTTCTAACATGCTGTTTCAGATCCAAGCTGCTTTGTTATCAGTGACTGCAGCTGGCATTTAAAACGGGGCTTGTATTTAAGAGAAATGGGCTTGCCTGTGGGGCAGGGGGACCTGTGGGATTGCTCTACTGGCTAGAGTCTCAGTACTGTATGTCCACGGAAAACACGCCTCTCACGCTGTGTTGTCGAGTGCAGTGGTTTTTACCTTGTTTTCAATAAACTTGGCTTGTAATTAATGTGGTAACTGCTTTAAGTCTTATGGATGGCCTTTGACTAAATCAGAGGTGGGTGAAAAGACCATCATTATTGTGTAATGCTAATCAGTTGGAGTGAATCATTCCCACTGAAAACAGGGGGTTAATACAGGGGCTATAGTTTGTGGCAACGTACCTGGTTATTTAGCAGGTCTGCTCCTTGGTACTAAAATGCCTTCAAAGGGTAACACATGCAGATAATATGTATGTAATTATGCTGTAGCATAGTCTGAGGCTCCCTTTGTGGGGAAGATTCAAGCACAACCATCACACGATACTGGAAAGAGCCATGATGTTCCGATCGGTCAGATGCTTCCTGAGGAACTGCAAATCCAAGCTTGGTTTATTCAGTTGTCTCTTTCCCTTGTGGCAATATGTGTCCCACTGTCACCATACAGCACCAACACGCTTCTGTCAGTTGCACTAGTCCTGGTTTACCCCTTGGCATGTTGAGAGGTGTATTGCCCTCCAGACAGCACTGACAGCATGTTCAAACTGAAAGCTCCCACTGATACGATTTGCTGTAGCAGTCACATATATGTAATATATAATATAGCCATATTTTGCCTTCTTTTTGTAATAAAAGGGGAAAAAATAGTTTATGATTCACCCTTCCTTTCAGTCTACGCCTTGTAGTTAACAGCGGCCCTAGTAAGGTGTTTCCCCTGGCTGTGTCCCAGAAGAAATCCACATTTTGACGGGTCTTTCGCCTCAGTTACCTGTTTTTAAAGGCAGGAGCTTCGCTGTCTCTCAGACCTCAATCACATTTACCTGCCGTAGCCGGCAAATAACACTGTAAGAGGAAAAATGAACCAGACTCAGTAGCCATGCACACAGAGGCGATGTCTCCGCTATATAACGACACCGGACAGAGCCTCCTCCCGCTCCCTGCGAGGTCCCCTCACGGCCCTCTTCCCGCCTCAGCCCTGCGCAGGCGCACAGCCGCCCGGGGCTGCCCGCCGTGCGCCTGTCAGGCAGCGCGTCAGGCAGCGCAGCGGGCCCCTGGCGGCGGCGGCGGGCGAGGCCCCCTCGGTGGCGCCATTTTGGAGTGGCGGCGGCGGCGGGCCCGGTCCCGGTCCCGGTCAGCATGAGCGTGGTGGAGCACGTCCGGGAGATGGCGTCCGCCGGGCTCCACTCCAACGTGCGGCTGCTCAGCGGCCTTCTCCTCACCATGAGCGGCAATAACCCGTGAGTGGCCCTCCCGCGGGCCGGTGGTGCTGAAGGAGCGGCCAGGCGGGACCGAGCTGGGGGCTGGAGCCATAGACTGGGTTGGGTTGAAGAGACCTTAAAGCTCCTCCAGCTCCAACCCCTGCCACGGGCAGGGACACCTTCCACTAGAGCAGCTTGCTGCAAGCCCCTGTGTCCAACCTGGCCTTGAGCACTGCCAGGGATGGGAGTGGGTTTGATGTTAGAGCTGCTTCTGGTGCCGGGTTCTTGCTCCCGGCCTTTCCCGGGGTTCAGGAGGAGCAGCACGGCCTGTACCCTTCGGGGTGCATGTTACAGCATGAATATCCTATTAGTGCGGCAGTTTTCTCCTTCCAGTGGTCACAGCAATTCCCTTGACTCAATTAGTTCCCATTATTTTTCAGGACTGTCCTATAAGGTGCAATTTGTCATTTTGAATGGGGTTGAGGCCCTAATTGAAGCCCAAACCCATTCTGAAGCCCTAACTGTTCTGCAAACATACTGGGAGAGCGCTAAAGGGTGGGGTGTAAAGTTTGGGAGCATGGGGATTAGGATGAGGAGAGCAGTACAAGGAGCGGGGTTGCTTTCAGTTTTGAGCCTATTCAAACAAAATGTGAGTTAATGTGGTTTGTTATAGGGAGGATGGGGGCTGCTCCCTTAGGGAAAGCAGTGGCCAAGCAGCTAAACACAAGGTGGTGTTGCTGATGAGGTGTCAGGGGCGGCTATTACCTCTGTTTGTATAGAGATAAAGTAAATTGGTGAGATAATCCCTTTATGAGGAGATACTCAAGGGTCTTTCCGTTGTAGTAAAGAAGCAGCAACAGTTTGAAGTTGAAGCCAAAACTACAGCTACTTCGGTTCTGTAAGGCTCTGGTTCTTACGCAGCAGCTGATCTCAGCCTTTCTGTTTGCTTTTCTTCTAGGGAGCTGTTTTCACCATCTCAGAAATACCAGCTCCTTGTGTATCATGCCGACTCTCTCTTCCATGATAAGGAGTATAGGAACGCTGTGAGTAAGTATACGATGGCCTTGCAGCAGAAAAAAGCATTAAGTAAAACTTCAAAAGTAAGACCTTCAACTGGGAATGCTGCAACAACTCCGCAAAGCCAGGTATTTAAAAACTAACTGCCTAAATTAATGTGTCTGACTCAGTAATCATAGAATCATTTTGGTTGGAAAAGACCCTCAAGATCATCAAGTCCAACCACTAACCTGATATTACCAAGTCTACCACTAAACCATGTCCCTAAGCACCACATCTACAGGTTTCCTGAATACCTTAGGTTGTGGGTTTATGTCAAGTAAATGTGACATCTAAAGCTAATTTGTTCCAAACCCACTAATGCCGTGTTTTCTAATGCAAAAATTACTGTGGTCTCAAACATGAGATGGTTTTTGTATGTGTAGTTCATGTTTTTCATTGTAAGACAGGAGCAGTATGAGCCAGCAGTAGGCTCGTACTGCCATCAGTTGCTTTCTTGCACTAGATTTAGAATCATAGAATAGTTAGGATTGGAAAGGACCTTAAGATCATCCAGTTCCAAACCCCCTGCCATGGGCAGGGACACCTCACACTAAACCATGGCTCCCAAGGCTTCGTCCCACCTGGCCTTGAACACTGCCAGGGATGGAGCATTCACAACCTCCCTGGGCAACCCATTCCAGTGCCTCACCAGCCTAACAGGGAAGAATTTCCTCCTTATATCCAATCTAAATTTCCCCTGTTTAAGTTTTAACCCGTTACCCTTTGTCCTGTCGCTACAGTCCGTAACAAAGAGTCCCTCTCCAGCATCCCTACAGGCCCCCTTCAGGTACTGGAAGGAACATAGTGTGAGCATTTAGTGAGGGAGCTGTGTTCAGATCTTTTACCCAACTAAAGCAACCTTGTACTTCAATCTTTCCCTTTTATTTCAGTGTTTACCATCAGAAATTGAAGTGAAATACAAAATGGCTGAATGTTACACAATGCTGAAGCAAGATAAAGATGCCATTGCTATTCTTGATGGAATTCCTTCCAGACAGAGGACCCCAAAGGTTTGTTCTGGCAGACTGGTCACAAGTCCTTGCTCAGCATATCTTGAAAAAGATGTTGAGATTTCAAGATGTACTGTGCAAATGCAAAATAATGTAAAGTTTATCCTTAGGCTCAGAAAGAAGCATTTACTTTAATTCTGTACTATATGATAAGTTATAGGTTAAGAAGAAGAGCAGGTAATCTTGTGTTTTGCCCAGAAGAGGAGGGAGGAAGGCATGCTTGAAGACAAAGTTGTGAGGATTTCTCCTTTCTCATACTTGACTCTACCAATATTTCTCTGGCTTGTAGATCAATATGATGTTGGCAAATCTATACAAGAAAGCAGGTCAAGAACGCTCATCTGTTACAAGCTACAAGGAAGTACTGAGGCAGTGCCCTTTAGCGCTTGATGCCATACTAGGTAGGTGTCTGCACGCTGCTGGGATTTCAGTATTAAACACTATTACAATTTGAATTATGCTTGGGACTAGGTAACTTGTCTTGCAGTTGCATGTAACATATAATGCCTACATCATGCATGTTATAAAATCAGTGTTAAGCTGCTTGTTTATGTTTGTCAAGGGATGGAGTTTCTGGTCTGCAGACAATTAATTTGTATTAAAAGCACTTTGTAATGGCTGAAATTGGTGTATATCTGCTCCTGCACAGGCTTGCTCTCGCTGTCGGTGAAAGGTGCTGAAGTGGCCTCTATGACGATCAATGTGATTCAGAGTATTCCTAACTTGGATTGGCTTTCCGTGTGGATCAAAGCATATGCTTTTGTGCATACTGGAGACAATACAAGAGCAATAAATACCATTTGGTAAGAGTTCAAAGGGCATGATACAGTCAAATAATGTATTAATATTTATATGTAATTGCATTAAAAATGGCATTAATAACAGCATTTATTTCTCTTAAAGCTCTTTAGAGAAGAAGTCATTGCTGAGGGATAACGTGGACTTACTGGGGAGCTTGGCAGACCTGTATTTCAGAGCTGGAGATAATAAGAACTCTATTCTGAAATTTGAACAAGCACAAATGCTGGATCCTTACCTAATAAAAGGTGCGTAAATCCTAAAAGAACATGTACATAATGTAGTTATCCGATGAGTAACTTTAGAGTAGCAGTTACATGCAGTCAGACATGCAGGGGAATGCTGTATCTGCTTGTACCTGCCTTTCAGTTCAGAAGCTGTGTATCTGGAACCATTACTGGTAGAGGTACAGTTTAAAGTAGGTGTTCATGGGTTTGGTTTTGTTTTTTCTTGGTGCAAATGAACTTTCCATTTCTTGCTGATGGATCTTGAAACGTTTCTTTTCAGGAATGGATGTGTACGGTTACTTATTGGCACGTGAAGGTCGATTAGAGGATGTGGAGAACTTAGGCTGCCGTCTCTTCAATATATCTGATCAGCATGCAGAACCCTGGGTGGTATCGGGGTAAGTTCTTTTGTTGCCTTTCTTATCTCAGCTCTTGATTTGCTGCAGGCAGTGGATTGCAGTTGATACAGTGGATTCAGGGTTTTTTGTTCACCAGGTGCTTTCCTATCCTGTTTTGGGGGTAACTTAACTATCCATTGATACCTATTTTGGTTGTTTTCTGTGTGTTTAAACTTATCAGAGTTAACACATCTGTGCACTAATAATGATATATTAAATAGCTGTAACAGTTAATATTCATACTGCTTTTTTTCTAAGCTCCTAAAGTTTGTTTTTTTTCCCCTGAACATGTATTCTTACCTTCAAATGCAAGAAGTTCAGTAGTTGCCTGTAATTGCCTTTATTTTTCTTCTTTTAAACCTCTGTGAATGTGCACAGGCACCACAGCCAGTACATGTTTACAACCCCTCTTGTCTTTCCATAGGTGTCATAGTTTCTACAGTAAACGATACTCTCGTGCCTTATACTTAGGAGCCAAAGCTATCCAGCTGAATAGTAACAGTGTTCAAGCTCTCCTGCTGAAAGGAGCTGCTCTTAGGAACATGGGCCGAGTCCAGGAAGCAATTATACACTTCCGTGAAGCAATACGTCTTGCACCTTGCAGGCTGGATTGCTATGAAGGTGAGTGAAGTGAAGCTACTCACACGTTCACTACTGGTTTGGTGTCATGCTGATGATTAGA